TTGGTGGAAGGGCCAAATGGGGTATGGTCAAGCCCTCTCGCACCGTTCCACCAATGACGTTAGCAGCAGCCGGCCCGCCCCCAGCCAGTACGCCAACTGCCTTTGAGTGAAAGGTTTGAGCATAATGGGATTCCCCAACATAAGAACCTGGAACGTACCTGGTCACAAAAACTGAGCAGGAATTTGACAAGGGCATGATATGACACATTGCTGAGCCAAACTGCCAGTTCTTCGTGAGCGCATACCTGCAATCATTGAATGGAGTTTACGGATTCTACCAGATGTTGGCCCTCCAAATCCGCCAAGCGCTCGGAAGACTCACCAGGGAGTAACTGGAACGGCAGTCAGTACCAGCAACAGATCGGTAAGGATAAGGTTGAGCAGGAAGATATTCCTGGCTGATCGTAACCGGCGATTGTTCGCCATCGCGAACACCACACCGCCATTTCCAACAAGGCCAAGTATGAACAATAGGCCGTAGACGAGAGTGAACGCTGATTTCACAAATAATTGTCTAAAATAATTGAATTATCACATGAGACCTCGTATTCGAGAATATGAATATTGTAGGTACATTAAGTGTTGAGAGTTTCCTACTCAGAGTGCGTTCATACTTCGCGATTCAGTCGCTCTGATCGCGAAGTATAACTGCCCTTTCGGGTGAATGGGAAGTAGTCATGCCCGCCTTCAGCCCAGGATCTCGCGTGTGGACCTCTTCATCCACGTAGTGGGAAAACAACCTTTCCGTACTGTCATAAAGAGGTCTTAGCTCTGATTCATTTACTCAGTTCGACTTACAGCCTACTTGCTTCTTCCTTCAGTTTTTCTGACCAAGTTTTCCTTTATTTTCAATTGTACAGTGGGTATTTGGGCGTTGTTCGGCTCGGGAGAGGCATTTTGCAGTTTTGCTAGTTCCTTTTGCTAGTTCATGTCAACTAACAGGTCCTATTTTTGGTGAGACTTGAAAGCGCCGAAATGCGCCGAAATGGTGTAATTGAGTCCCCTTGGTTACAAGGTTTTACAAGTTTTCACAGGGTGACCTGCACAGACTTCGCTGTGTCCATTATAGGATGCCCCGCCACTACCGAACTGTGGGCAACGTTCTTTTCATGAGTATGTGGCACATTCTAGGTGGCGAATCGCGTAGGTGCGGCCACTCAATAAATAAGTCATTCGTGTGTGGAATGCTTAAACGTGATCCAAGTTGTCCTAAGCAAAAAAGATTCGCGAGGCAAGTTTACCACAGCGAACATAATGGTAGAATTACAGCAAAGTGGAGAAGATACCTATCATCAGTAATACAGTAATAAATTTAAGCCACTGTATAAAGAACCCTTGCACCCTCTCAACCTGTTATTTATTGACAGTCAGCTGTCAGTAACCACGAGACTAGTGAACGTGCTATCAAACGCAGCAATCGATGTTCAGTTCAGACTTTACTCATGAATATCATATTAGTTTATTAGGTTGATTCGTAAGTCATGCACAAAAATTAATTTTTTTTCGCTCGCAGTCCTATTCGATCTTTAGTTAAAAGTTTAGCGCTCTCCAGCAGAAGAAATCGTTTATCGCCACTTCGCCTGGAGGCCGATAGAGTCGTCCACGTTGCCCCACATCATGACGATGCTCGAATTCAATGGCAAACCCCACCCACCATAAAAAATTAGTTGGGAAGTTTCATCGCACCCTCTTTATTCTTCTGACTTGAGCCGCGGAGCTAAAGAAAAGATGTTTTGTCTGAGCGGTGGTACTGTTTGGCTCGGAGGGTGCATTCTGCACCTTTGCTGAAACCATCTGTCGGTTCATCTTGAATATCAGATGTTACCCTGGTGAGACCTGTGAACTCATGTGAAGCTGTGAAGTGGCGCGATTGAGTTACTTTGGTCACAGGACTTCACAGGTCTTCACAAGGTGCTATGTATGAGCTTAGCTGTTCGATGCTTCGATGCCCCCACTAAGCCGAACTGGCCCCATTTTTTTACCTGGCGACTTGTTCTTGGAATGTTTTCTTCGACACATCTAATCGTTTCCTTTTTATTGACCCCGTTTAACTACCATTTACTGCGGGTCCTCAAGTAGCAACTACGACAGTGAAAAAAGGAAGAATGAAAAAGTAAAAGGAATGAAGGAGGAGGGACGATGATTAAAAGGAACTTGAAAATGGGGTTTTGCGCTTCCCCTAACTCGCAACTATCAGAGTTCCAAACTTCTGGAAATCGTGGTCTAGTGGAGAGTTCAACAAAGTAGGGCGCTGGGTGGGGCATGGTGATCATTTTGTTGACTGATAACTTCAAATTGTTCAAAATGTAAAAAATCTCGCTCATAACTCTCATATCAGGCTAATATTCCACGCATTAATGCGTGTACCAAGTAATAAATAAATAAGAAAGGCATAAGATGAGGAGGTCCAGAAGGGGGGGGATGAACTCCCTCTGAACCTCTGCACTCTCTTAGCCATCAGAGGTTACTTCTTCGAAAAATCAAATTTCAATTTCTTTGATCTGCTGCTAGTCTTTAAGCAGTCCCTATCACATCGGTGTACAAACGATGACTACCAGACGTGCAAGATTTCAACTAAAAACAAACATGGATTGGCGCAGGTCGGGTTGGTGGGGCACCAGATAGAACTCAGTACTCAGCAGAGTTTGTTCAGGCCATCCTGTTGATACCTGTCATTCCTGCAACTGGCAGTCGCCAGTTTCCACACTTGTCGCCAGCTTCACAAAAAGTTTCACAGGTCTCTCCTCACAGGATCACATGGTCCTAGGCTCACGGATCTGTCCAGATAGACTTTTAGTTAAATAGAGCTGAACAAAAAGAGTGGCGAATGCGGTAGAACTGCCCCCTCCCGCACGGGCAGCATTCCATCCATTCTTCTTCGCTGGATTCCAAATATCACTCGATAACCGGACAGAAGGCTAGCCAAGGGCATCGAAGCTTCCCAGGGACCATCTCACTGGAGAAGACAAAGGGCAAGAAAACAAGAGGATACACTTGTTCCTCGTTACTCTGAACTCCCTTCATGTTCGTAAACATAGGATAGAAAGGCCTCCACTGCAAGGCCGTTTATCTCCTAGAACTCCTAGATAATTTGTTTAGCTGTTGTTTTTCCTTTGAACTTTACGGTTCATTGCCGATGCCGATTAATCGACTCATCACGTTACACGTGCGAATGCTAATAAACTATGGCGAATACATTATTAAGATGAGGGGCAGCACATGACATCGGAAAGTACACTACTCGGTAAGCACGCTATCCTAGTTCAAATACCATCTGAATCATAATTCAGCAACCTTGTGGTACTTCTCAGAGGTTGAGGTGTGTAGCAAGTCTCCCGCTCTGGAGATCCAGCCGTCGGGCTGCTAGACGCGCACGCCAACCATTTTTGGGCGTTTTCGGCTTACAAAGGGCATTTTGCACTTCCACCAGTCTTCTGTGCAAGTTCCTGTTAAACTACAATGACGCACCATGGTAGGAGTTATAGTTTCTTGTCGACTGTAAACGAAACTCCTGCTATTGCACAACGTAGGTGTGCTTGCCAAGCCGAACAGCGTCCACTGTAGTATTGTCAAGGCCTGTGCCAATATCAATGATCATTCGAATACTGCTCTACAGCCCTCGAAGAGTCTCGTTTTGTGAAAGATCCAACACTTCTCAGTTAAACATCCAGCAATTTGTTTGGTCCAGTAGCATCGGTGGGGCTGTTCAGTTTGGGAAACTGGGGGGAGAGGAGCGGAGGCGTTCTGCATTTTCGCCAGACTCGTCCGTAGTAGTACATTTCAACGAACAAGTTCTTACGTTGGGTGCGCATCTGTAAGCTCGTTTAAGCTGCCGAAGACCGGTACTAACTGAGCCCGTTTCGTAAGCGAGGATTCTGGTTAGTCTTTCACAAGGGCTGAACAGTGTTCGCTGAATATTTCTAGGTAGCCCCTTCGAAGCTGAACTGCCCACATCGTTTGACGTGCAATTGAGTACGAAGGATTCCTTTTGAGGAGGTTTCATCGAAGAACCAAAATGACTGGATTCGATACCTCTAACGCGTCCGGTGTACACACAAGGTTTGATGTAGTTACCTGTCGGGGGCGATGTGCCAGGAGAATGGACGATACAGTGTCAGGGGGCATGGAATGAGTCCGCTCGCGGCGTTCTCTTCCACTGGTTAATTTCTCCCTGAAACTGGTCACTACTGGTAGAAAATGCGGCCGAGGCGGGCTCTTTTCACGCCTCCTGACACCACTCCCCAGCTGATTGTGACAATATCAGCTACACTGCGCACGCACTGATTGTAACCTGACCTATCGAGAACACACGGCTTTCTAGAGGGTTCGATTGGCGCCATCTCTCAATGTTTTTCGATAGAAGCTGGAAAAGTGTCTCAAAAAGGTTTTTTACCTAGAGGTCATGGAACCCGTTCAGGTCCTCAACTGTCTGGGTAGCTATTATTCGACCCCCCATCGAGGCAAAGCACATCCTGCTGTTAGGGAAAAATGTTCCAAAATACGACTCCCTTGAAATCTTATCTGGTATAAACCCTTCGCCACCCCAACTACCTCTCTCTGAATCTTCCCAACTTCCTATCACTCTTCCGAAAATCCTCTAGTTCTCCTCCAGAAGACTAAGATCGAGCGGGGGCTGAGGAGGATGGGATAAATCGCCCACCTGGAAGAGGAATAACTGAAAAAAGTCAACAATCGAAGAAATTTTTCCTCGGAGGCCAATAGGATCCCCTCTCCTTCTCTCTACAGCGACCAAATATGATCCCTCTCCCTGAGAGTCCCTAGTCGACGTGCCCTAATTCAAGTGATTCCCCATTCAGGTTGTTTTCAAGTACAAAACAGACTTCATTCTTTTAGCACTTCTCACTTCAAGATTACATGGCACGGTGCTCGTGCACTGAATTAACTTACACGCACTCTCACAACGAGGTTATCGTGTAGGCAGAAGAGTGTGACTCATCTAATGTGCTGTA